TAGTGGTGATGGAATAATTTTTTAATGAGTTAGTGTTGCATGACGATCCAACACATGCATATAAATAAAAGAGAAGTAGCGAGAGGAGACAACATAATTTTTACATATAAAAGAAAAATTACGGGGTCTAGCCCAATTAAAATAATTAATTATGAGTTTGTAAGTATAAGGGTGCGCCTTTCTCTCGCAACAGAGAAATCAGGGCTATAATTTTAAACAAAGTATTATGCTTGTGTTTTTACAACAACAAAAAAAGAAAATACATGTGTTAGACACAACGACCATATGACCATGACTACATGATTTGCAAGCAGGGGTAATTGATGGCAAGCAATGATAATCGATGGTGGCTTATGGTAGGCAACGGGTTGTGATCAAACAGTGGTCGACGCCCATGAAGGCCGATGGTTATTTATCAGATTTTCTCTCAGGACAAACTTTGAAATTCCACTTCTTCTCCTCTTCTCTAGTGAAGAGAGAGTCTATTTATAGTCTTTTAGGGAGGAACATCTAAGTCTTTTGGCACATAACTTCTCTAATCACTTGATCAGATGATCCCCATCAATCTTTCTTGATCATAGATGATTTTTTAATGATTTGAGTGAATTAATGAACTCAAATTTTAACAATCTTAGACTCGTTATATTTCTCTCATCGAAACACTCAACTTGATTATAAATATGTCAAATTTAGAGTTCATTTAACAATTCAATTGAAGATTCAAAGCCTCTAAATATGCCTTAATAATTTGATCTAGATTTGATTGGGCCAAATTAAACCAATTTTGGTATCATCAAGTTCGTTTTGCCTAGACTAGTAGTTTGAATATAAACTTGTTGAAATCAAGGCTCAAGTAATCTTAAATTTGAATTTGAAAGATCCTTCATAAAAAATACATCAAAATTCATGCTTGATAAAAATTTATTGATCACACTGCAACAAAATGAGTTTTAACAAACCGGTGCCAAATTGCCCTTTCGAGCTCTCTCAATTGGCATTGCTATTAGATCACAAAACTAGAACTCCCACTTATGGAGGCTCTCATTTGACAGCTTAAAATAAGAGATATTATAAGGTGCGATTCGAATTCTCAGTCATAATTCTTTTATTGCACTGATTTATAATTGAAAAAAATATCAACAAAAATTCCCAAAATCATTTGAATTTTAGTCATCTCATTTATTTAAATCAGTCCCTTCTCAAATCAAACATGTCAACCTACTTCGGATTATATTTGAGTAGAGCCATTTTAAATCAGTTCTGAAGAGTTTTGGATCTAAATTCGACATATCAGATGGTCTCCGGGGGACAATTTTGACTCTTATGTCATTTACATTTAAGTCAATTATTTATACAGTTATTAGATATCAATACAGCTATATGCAAACATCTGAGCTCCTTAAAGTTACAGCCAATAAACTGAATAATCGTAAATTCAACAAGAAAATTTGACGATCAATAATACATGATGTAATAATGTAGATAAATTGAGAAAGCTGTGTTTCAACATATAAGAAGAGTTCATCATCTTGGTTTCCGGATGCTAATTGTCCACAACAGATCTGAGTCAGAATGCACTGTAATTTTCTCCTCTCGCACTGAATTGGATGTGCTCTCCAATCCACCAAAATGCATGCTTCCTTCAGCTGTTGATATCAGAGAAAGCTCTTGAGGTCAGACCATTTATTTTTTATTTTTAAAAACACTCAGAAATACTAAAATATTACTTTGAAACTTCTTAAAAATAATTATATCAAAAACATAATTTAATTTAAATCAAAACATAAATAAAATGACATAAAAAAGGAAAATAAAAAAATTAAACTAAGCATCCATTTGATTTAGGGTCTGTTTGGGACAGCTTTCTTCATGCTTTTCATTTCAAATCACAGCTATAACTCCATTTCGGGAAATGCTTTCTTGATGTTTTCTTAAAATTTTTGTGGTTGGAAGCATTTTTTTTTCAAACTGACATGTTAAAATGCGGTGGTTGTAAGAAAGTTGTTGTCTAAATTATATATATAATTCTCACAACAACTTTCTCCACCACAGCTTTACAATCAACTTTCTAAAATTCTTCAGCCACTCCAAACAGACCTTTAATAATCGGTTTTCTTTAACTTCCTGGATTAATATATAAACTTGGAATAAAAATTTCTGGATTAATATATAAACTTTCTAAAATTCTTTAACTTTCTGGATTAATATATAAACTTGGAATAAAAATGTAAAAGAAATGTAGTGTGGATGCTTACTAAGATCCCATTGGAGACCGGTGGTAGTAATGGAAGAAGCTGGTGCACCGAACGGGATGAGACCACAACGTGGTCCTTCAACAGAAGACTGGATGTAGATTTCATGCCGATGAGTTTTAGGAAGAAGATAAATCAAGCAGTGATCCGATAGGAGAATAATGCGCATGTTTGAGAAGTGATAAAGCACATTGATGTTCCCCATTTCATGGTCAAATCTTCCTCCAAGCGCGCCGGCAACAAGAATATGCAGCTGAATTCACTCAAGTGCATTAGTTCGCACTGTTTGCTTTTACTTTTTCCCTTAATGTTTTTGTTTAGCATGTTTTATACATCATTTTATATATTTTATTTGAAAAAATATATTCAATACATTTTGCAAAAGTGAATGCTTACATTTGATTTCTCCAAAGAGGGTGTGCAATCACAAATAAAAGCTACACACTTGTGTAAGTCGGGGAACTCCTGCTCTGTCACTCTCACTATCTTAACTCCCTGCCAGAGTTAACGAAACACAAAAAAATGTAATCCATGCTATGCCACAGAGTGAGAGATGAAAGATCATTTGCCGCAGTAATGACCGACCTACCATTAAATGTAGTAGTCCTTTTATAGAAATGAGCTCTAAAACTCTAGTTCAGACGGGAAATAGTCATCAAGTTGCAGTAAATAAAGCTTTAATGAGTAACTTGTTGAATGCTATATGAAAGAAAAACCTGTAACATGTATTAGCTTCATTGTGCCCTTTGCACATACAATAATAATAGAAGTCAACTACAATAGTACTTGGCAAGGGCATGCCAAGATAAATATTTCATGGGCCTATGACATGCTTCGTATCCAAACATGCCGAGTTAGAAATCAATAAAACCAGCATTATCTGAAATTATCTCAAACAGAACAATAGTTAACATTTTTATTTTGTAAATCTTAACCATCATTCTCAGCCTCCATGTGGGCATGTTAGCGAAGTGATAATGAGAAGGAAACTCTCCCCAAAAAAATCACCTTTTGAAGATGCCCAAAAGAAGCTTCTCGCCAACCATTGATGCCATTTAACATATAATGAAATACCGAAAATCAATAACCCACAACATGGTTTGGAATTCTGATATTTCTAACCAAGTTTAGTTATGGGTAGGTATTATCACCTTGTCCAATACAAGAACTGAATTTTTATAAAATGAAATCCATGGTGATGAAAGTTTAGTGGAATATCTCTTGAGATTTGTATCTAATGTTGGGTCCTATTTGTAAATAGAAGAAGTATATGAATTTATTAGTACATGTTGTAAGGCTTTATATAAGCCCAAGTCATTAATGCAATGGGTAAGATTTGAAGAGCAATTACTTTTAAAATGGTATCAGAACCCTAGCACTGAGCTTGAAGCAAAGGGAAAAAGAGACGGAAGTCGGCTTTGGCTACAAATGCAACGAAGCGAGATCTTTGTGTTGTGTGATCCCGTCATTGTGTTTCCCAAACGCAGGAGCGGAAGGAGCGTCGTTGCTATTATTGTGTGATCCAGTTGTTGCATCCTGTCGTCGAGTTTCCCGAGCACAGGAACGGAAGAAGGGAATTTCAGAGGCGGGTTTTTTTTTCATGTGATTTCTTCATTGTTGTCCAACAAGCTGTTGTTGCTATCCAGTGAGTTCTAAATGCGGTTGCAATCCCTTCGCTGTTGTCCAGAGAGCCCTAATTGCGACTATTGGAGTTTCAAAGGACTTCATACACAAACAATCTTTTCGTTTGCTACGAAGCAGAGGGGAAGTGCAGGCTCATGCTTGCATAGGAACAGGGAGGTTCAAGCTGCTTCGAGTGAAACAAGAATTGGCGAGGGCATCAGATCAGGCATACAAATCAAAGAATAGTAAAATTTAGGATGTTAGAAGAAAGAGATGGTGCAGGAGGTAAAGGCGTGAAGCTTCTGGAGAAGATAGATCCTGAAGTTCTGAAGGTCTTGATCGGGCTCATACAAGAAGCCTAGTGTCTCGATGGGGGCCACTACCTCGACACATGCTTCAACGCAGGTGAAGCTATATCTCCTCCATGTGGATATGAAACTTGATGGACTAGTCACATATCTGAGTTAATCGCGTCAAATCGAGGCGGCTCTGGTAGTGAAGAGACTAGAAGGATATTTGACGGGTGTTGAGCCAAAGAGTGGCAGGTTGAAAGGGATGAGTGAAGGACCTCACATGTCTTGCTTTACACTTGACTACTTAACTCGATGGTTCCATCTATGGCCTTATCAATTGATGACATTCAAAAAGTGAGGGACATCTGGGCAAAGTAGAATAACTCTACTGGGATTAAAAATCACATGAGGGTATTCTATATTCAGTGTGAGATAGGAGATAGATTGATTCAGGAGTACTCCATAAAGCTGGAGCAATTGTGGTAAGATCTTAATCACTTCTTACCTATGTAAAGCTGTGATGATCAGACTATGCAATTTATGGCTCATTTGAACCTGACCTTTGATCAGAGGAAATCAATCCTCCTAGCCCAACGACGATCCCTTCACTGGATGAGGCAATTACCGCGATGATACTGAAGAAGAGTTGCATGAGGCAACACTCGGAGCCGGGTGGACTTCCAGTTATGTGATCAGCTTTGTCTGCTTTGAGCTTAGGCATGACAAGTGCCCAAGGGAAGACACGTAGGTGCTACAACTGTGAAGAAGTGGGACACCTGAGCAAGACTTGTGCAAAGCCACCCAAGGATAAAGAGACTAGTGAACAAGGACAGCCTAGAGGCCATGGTCGTAGTCGTAGAGGCCAAATAGGTAGAAGAGAGGGCCACTAGAAAATTTTGATGATAGAAGATAATGAGAGAGAGATAGGAGTGATCTTTATTAATAAGGATCAGGAGTTCCTGGAGATATTGAAGAGGAAGCAGAGAGTGGCAGATGATGTGACTGAGAATGCATCCACCTTATCGTCATTCAAGAGAAACACTGTTACTTATGCTCACTTAGCCAAAGATTCTCATAATGCACATGCTCTTGCATCGATATCCACAATGAGATCACTAAAATGGATAGTAGATTATGGTGCATCTTGACATGTGGCGGGTAACGCTAGTGAGTTTTCTTCTTATACTCACCTAACTGTTCCAGAAAATATTCAGGCCGTTGAAGGTACAATATAATCGATGATTTGTAAGGGTACTGTGAGGTATACAGATTCTATGACTTTGTCCAATGTTTTGTATGCTTCTTCCTTTCCAATGAACATTTTATCCATTAGTGTATTATACTCCAACTAAAATGTATTGTTTCATTTGATATTCTAAGGTGATCTTTCAAGAGAATGAGACTAAACGGAAACTTAGGACCAACATGTGGCATAATGGACTCTAGTACTTGGATAAAAAGGGATGGACTCAACCTTGACATTTATGGTAGAGAATGCTGGAATAGGAGATTTTGTGAAGAGTGTGGAGGATGTGTTGCTTGGATATATCTGATGAGAAATAAAAGTGATGTTCTCGTCTGCTTTAAAGACTTTACAGAGTGATTCAGACTTAAAACGATGCAATAGTGAAGATATTGAGGTCTGATAATGAGACAGAGTAAACCAACAAGACGTTTGAGAGTAGTTGTCAACCTAAGGAATACAACATCAAATCATATGTCCATACACACCGACACAAAGCAGAGTAGCGAACAAGAAGAATATACATCTTCTAGAGATATCCCGAAACATGATGATCATGATGAATGTCCTAAAGCACTTGTGGGGCAAAACAGTGGCTGCACAATTGATAAAATGAATGCCCTCAAGAGTGTTGGAATGACAATCTCCTTGTGAGTTGCAAAAAGGAAAAAATGATTGAATCCTCCCATTAAAGATATTTGATTGTGTATGTTTTTTAAAGGATAATAGATCATCAATAAAGAAGTTGTATCTCAATGCTGTGAAGTGTATTTTCATGGGTTATTTTGCTACCCAGAAGAGGTATGTTTGTTGGAGCCCAGTAGAAAAGATACTACTTATGAGTAAGGATGTGACTTTTAGAGAATTCAAACCTTACTACTCCTTGAAGGTGATTGCACCGTTTGGTGACTCGCTAGATAATGGAGGTGTGAGAAGAGGGGGGGGGGGGGGGGGTGGTGGAATAAAAATTTGGGGAATCAGGGGGAACAATGCGTTCTCCGGTTGTGTGGGAAGAATCAGCTAAGGAAGAGCCCGAAAATGAGCAAAATGAGCCTGAAGATGGTGGGATTCAAGCTCAAGAAGAGCTGAGAGTGTATACAAGGAGAAAGAGGCAGAATGATGGAACAGTGCATGTCGTGTCACTCATGCCAGCAAATCCTTTATCCATGTCTACTCAGACTCCTAAAACACCTACACCATCCAATTCAGAATTAGATTACATAGTTGATCTGATTCCTCTTCCTTCTCCTCCCACTCCCATGACTTTAAGGAGTACCTCTCGCAACAATGCAGGTTATTCTATGATCATTATTCTCCTGATTTTTTTTAGTTTCTCACATGACATTGCTCAGTTTGTCTCACACTTTAACATATCACATGATTTCATTACATCTTTGGACATTGTCTCTATCCCCAAGTGTCGGTTGGTAGCACAAGAGGATCCAAAGGGGAAGGCTTTCATGTTGGAAGAACTTGATGCTCTCTTTAAGAACAGGACGTGGGAGTTCGCATTGCAACCAATAGGGAAAAATGCTCGGGTGCAAATGGGTATTCACAGTGAAACATACCTAAAAAAAATGGTCGCTATAAAGCACAAGTTATGGCAAAAGAGTATAGTCAGACATATGACATCGACTATGACTAGATATTTGCATCAGTGAAGAAGATGAGCATAGTCAGGACACTCGTCTCTCTGAATGTAAATGGTGGATGAAGATACACCAACTAGATGTGAATAATGTATTTCTTCATAGGGATCTACTAGATGAGGTTTACATGGAGATACCCTCATGCTTCGACACAAACAAAACAGTGGACAATGTATGTAGACTGAGGACACAATAGATGTTGAAACAGCCTCCTCGAGCTTGGTTTGATAGGTTCAAACAACAATAGTAGGCATGGGCTATTAGTGGATTAATGTCAACCACACAAATTTCTTTCGAAGACATGGTGGTTACATTAATATGTTTGTCTTTTATGTGGATAATATGATAGTCACTTGTGTGATGAGGGAGAAATTGTGCTACTAAAGGTAAAATTGAGCAAAGAATTTGAGGACCTGGGACAATTTAAATAGTTCCTTGGCATTGATGTGACTCGTGGAGCAGAGGGGATCGTTCTATCTCAGAGAAAAAATGTACTAGACTTGCTCACAAATATAGGCATGTTGGGATGCAAGCCTACAGTTTCACTAATTAATCAGAAAAGAAAGTTGAGCACAAAGGCAGGAGAGTCAGTTTATTGCAAGAGGTACCATAGATTAGTAAATCGTCTCATTTATCTAAGTCACACTCGTCCCGACATATCATTATAGTAAGCGTGGTGAGTCGCTA